TTCACTTGCTTGTGTACCTTGATTCAAAACAGAAGAACTCCTTAGGAGCAGCAGCCCCTCTGAGAAACTCCAATTAAATCCACAGACTCCAAACATTGCCTACCTGCCATCCCAAGTTTTCAAGCTTCCTCCAACTTCAGCTTCAGAATAAAGCAGGAAAAAACATCAGGAAGAAAGAGAAGAAGGAGAAGAAGTAGAAGAAGTAGAAGAAGAAGAAGAAGAAGAAGAAGAAGAAGAAGACAATGACAACAAAGACAAAGAAGATGAAGAAGAAGAAGACAAAGAAAAAAAGAATATGATAACAAAGAAGATGAAGAAGAAAGAAGAAGAAGACAATGATGGCAATGACAAAGAAGACAAAGAAGATGAAGAAGAAGACGACAAAGATGACGAAGAAGTAGAAGGAGATGAAGAAGATGAAGACAGAAGATAACAAAGAAGAAGAAGAAGAAGAAGAAGAAGAAAACAAAGAAGAAGAAGAAGACAACAAAGAAGAAGAAGATGAGGAATAAGACAAAGACAACGAAGATGACAAGATGAAGAAGAAGACAAAGGCAACAAAGAAGATGACAACAAAGAAGATGAAGAAGAAAGAAGAAGAAGACAATGACGGCAATGACAAAGAAGATGAAGAAGATGAATAAGAAGATGACAAAGATAATAAAGAAGAAGATGAAGAAGAAGACAACAAAGAAGACAATGAAGACGATGAAAAATGAAGAAGAAGAAGACAAAGACAACAAAGAAGATGATGAAGAAGAAAAAGAATAAGAAAAGTCAACAAAAAACTTCAGGAGTGCTTCGCTCCTGCTTTTATAAGCTCTTGCAGCCACAAAACTGCTCACAGGTGGGCTAAGCAAGGCAGCCCAATTAATCCTGCCTAACGAGAGCCTTTCATTTAAGTGGATCCAGGTGTACCTTTCTGTTGCTGGAGGTGGAATTTCCCTGGCTGCATCTTCCCAGAGAGGGTACTCCACCTCTGAATTGCTTATGACTTGAAGAATGCTTTGCAAATGCTGTATTTTGCTGCCCCTGTCTCAGGATTAGGAGGGCCTGAAACTCATTTGGGAGTGCTGGGGTTTGAAAAGGAGTTCTCTGTTCATGGTAACACAGAGGTGGATGAGCTTCAGGTGAGGTGCAAGGAGACAGACAAGGCAAATTAAAGTTTGAAATACTGAGAGTTTTAAACTTTCTATGCTAACAAATTCTAACCCCCCAAAAAACCCACTACATTTAACCTAAAACCATTAAAAAACCTTCCAAAAGTAATTAATTACACTAAAATTGCAAGTATGTAGCTTAATTAGAAGCGTACGATATCACAAAATAAAAAACTTAGAGTTGAGAGTTTTAGAATATAGTAATATATTTAAAACAAAATAAAATATTTAAAGCAAAAACTAGTCCTTCTTCTTAATAAATGTAAGTAGTGTTTTATAATTCAACAAAAAGTTCACATTGCAGACTTTGAGTAATTAGTTAAGTTAAAAATAAAAATAATTTAAGTATCATTTCTTAATTAAATCATTTAACCTGAAAAAATGTATAACAAAAAATAGTTCACCATTTTATATCTTATTAATAAAATACTACAAAACTCACTACTATAAAACTATAACATAGATTTTAAAAAATAAACATTTAAACCTAAACACAAAATACCATCAGTCCCCACCTCAACAACCTGGTGCTACCTCTGCATATTGATAATCTGGGTTAATACTGCATCACAGGGCTCTTCTCTGGGATAAATGGTTTATATATTTATATAAAATACTGCCACCAATATAAACATTGCCTAAGAAGGGCTTTTCACAAGAGCATGGAGGGATAGGATTTAGGAATAGAGAAGGGATACAGACAGAAGGCTCAACAAGATACTACTGAAAAACTCCTGACTCCTTCCAGAGTCCCAACACCGCTGGACCATGATTGGGCATTAAGTAAAAACCATTCACATCTTGGATAAACAGTCTCCAACCGCATCCCAAAGCAGCAAAACACAGGAGAAGCAATCAGATAATTACTGTTTTCATTTTTCTCTGAGGCTTCTCAGCTTCCCAGGAGAAGAAATCCTGGCAAAGGGATTTTTCCAGAAAATATGACAGTGACACTGGGATTCTGTGATTTTTTTTTTTTCCTGGTTGTAGGCTGCTCATGAATGCTCTGATCTCAGATGGGAACATCTCCCTGGATGCACATTCACACCTTGTCTGTGGACGGTGATCCCATCTCTCTGACTTCTCCCTTCCCGGCCTCTGAACTTCAGGCTACCTGTGCTTAATAAAAAGGGTTTTTTCATCATTCACAGACACTCAGTGCTGTTCCTGCAGGTTCTGCTGTGTCCCTCTGTAATTCCATCTCTTTGCAAGTCTCTTCTGCACTGTGAGAAGAGCTGCACTGCAGCGAGCTTGTGCTAAAACTTTTGCAAGGATGTGGCTTAATTGGCTGACAGATAGAGCTGGGGAGCACTAAAGCCATGGGGAGGACTTCAGCATTGGAGGGAGAGCAGGATGGCTGCCAGGAGAAAAATCTTCATGGCAAAGGAGCAGTCCCTAGCTCTTCCTCACCGCTCCAGAGCCAGTTCTGTCTTGGAGGAAACTCCCACACACACTGTGATTTTTGTGAGAGGCAGGGACCAGAAAGGTAGGCAGGAGTGAAAATCAATCAAGATTTGTCAAATACACGGGAGAACTCATTTTTATGAGATAAGTGCCTTCAGAGGAAACGTTGGTAGACACCTACCACATGTTCAGCCTGCTTAGGAGCAAAGCATGGCCCATTAATCACTGTCACTCCAAGGGGCCGGCTTCCCACTGAACCATCTCCCAAATTTCCCCCTCTCCCAGCCTTCCTCTGCCCTCCCAGGAGGATGAGCTGCTCTCACAGACCTGTGAGCCTGCACATCAGGCTGATGCTCCTGACAGCTGCTGCACCAACCCCTCATTTATTTGTGGCTGAGCCGCCCACTGAGCTCCATGGACTCTCATTCTTGTGAAAAACGCCAATCACTTGTTTTTAAAATTTTAAAAGTTTAATAGTAATAAAATGGTTATAAAGATAGTAATACAATTAGAGTAATAATAATTTGGACAAATTGAATTAGGACAATATGAGACAATAGAACCAAAGAGTTACAGACAGTCTGGGTACCTTTTTCTGGGCAGCACGAGCCCCAAAATGAACCCACTTTAACAGAGGATTAACCCTTAAAAGCAACAGCCTGTTGCATATTCATACACCTCATCCATGATGCATAAATTCCATCCAAACACAGGATTCTGTCTGGGCAGGGTCAGCTTCTTCCTCCGAATCCTAACAGTGGAAAAAGTTCATTTCTTCTGATAAGAGGGCAATAAATTCTTTTTCTCTGAAAGATTCAGGTGTCCTGTGGCTGTTATCTGGTGTGAGTCCTTTCTTTGAAAAAATTATCCTACATAGCATCGTTTATATTTTACTTATTTTTATAACCTAAAACTATATTTAACATACTAATTAAGAGAATTAACACAGCATTACTATCTAACACAACACATATAATATTCATTTGAATATTTGCGAAAAGCCAATCATAAAATAAACACATTTTTCACATTTCATTCAGGGCAATCAGCAAAACAGTGCCAGAGGAGCTGCTGCCTCCAAAATCCATGTGCTGCTGTCCTGCTGCAGTGGGACCTTGCCCTTGGAAGCAGCCAGGAAGGGATTAAGTTGGCTTGGCCAACACCCTGTACTCAGAAAAAGCAGCAACTGAGATTATTTTCATTTTCTTTTTTTTTTTTGGTCGTACTGCAAATCTTATTCCCACATTTTAATAGCCTGAATTAGGGGTCTCAGCTCTTATTTTCAGGGTATGGCCCCAGGCAGTCCTGTTGATAACACCTGCTGGGTTAAATATTGCACCTGGGGAGTGGGGAAAACTGGTTTGTGGCAAGAGCTATGAGCTATAGTTATCATAGCCAGCTAACTATTTTTTGTTATAAGGTTTTTTCAGGTTAAATTATTTAATTAAGAAAGATACCTAAATTATTTTTATTTTCAACCCAATAACTAATTACTTGTGGATTGCACTGTTACAAGGAGAAGGAGAGAAAGAAATGGCTGTGCCCTTTTCTGACCCAGAGATGGGGCAATTAAGAGGTGTTTTAAAAACTTTTATTCTATTTTCAGTCTCACGTGAAGGGTGAGACAATACAGATGTTATCATTCACACCATCACAATCAGAAGCCAATTATTTCCTAATTATATTATAAATGTATTTCCTGGCCTATCAGCTTTTGCCACACCATGCAGTAAATGCCTTAAAGCCAATAATCTAAAATTACCCCCATGGCTCCTACTACAATGCATCTTTCATAGCTCTATTTCTCCAAGTGTCCAGTCTTTTTTGCAAGGCCATCCTTTGAAACTTGTTCCTAGTTCCATTTCTCTCTCCACAATGTCTGTCCTATTCCATGCCATTTCCAAGTCAGCATTTCTTATCTCAAAGTCTGCATACAGATGCACACACTATGTAAACCTTCTGTCAGGCTTTGAGAATTTTCTATAAATACATTTCCCCCTCTTTTTTGAATGGAAAAATCTCCTTTGATGGCCTTGTTCACTCACTAACATTGTCGCTATAACAATCAATGCATATAAACCCACTTTGCAAAGCTCCTTTAGCCAAGGTGTGCCTCTTCATACATCCCCCACCTCTGCAGGGATTTCTGCTGGAAGCCTGGAATAGCAGCAGTCCCCTTCCCTCCAGGGGCCTGGAGATGGCACCACAATTTGGGAATACTTTCATTTTCCGTGTAACATCACGACTGACCTCCATGTCACAGAGGCAGGGATGGAGCAGGTGCAATATTTAACCCAGCACGTGCTATCAACGTGACTGCCTGGGACTGTACCCTGAAAATAACAGCTGAGACCCTTAATTCAGGCTATTAAAATGTGGGAATAAGATTTGCAGTAGGAAAAAAAAAAAAAAAAGAATTTTTAAAAAAACCCAACATGAGGGACCGCTGCCAAGGCTGGGGGCATATGATGCTCTTGGTTATAATTTAGAAAAAGGGATCCCAGAGAGACACAGAAGGCCCAAGGAGCTCTGGATCTCTTCTAGAGGAGGGAGGGATTCAGCTTCAGATCCCACGAAAGTGAGGGAAATTGGGGTGAGATCCTCTAGGAAAAGGAAAACAACAGAGACCAAGAGGAATGAGGCCAAGGGAAAACCCTTTTCCATCCCTACCTCACCTTTCAGGCTTGTTTCACAAAAGAATCTGCAGAGTCATAAGAATCCAAGGTTTTATGGTTAAAAAGGGCCCATGTTCCCATGCCAGGGGTGGCACCAAATCCAGTTCTCCAAAAACTCCAGAGTGAGGGAAATCCAAAATTATATTCAACAGCTCGAATATAATTCAAGGACCTCGAGCTCACTTTTAAGGGGCTGCTGTCCGCAGATGAATAAAAGCTCGTGGCATGACTCCATGCAAGGCCAGGGCACCAAAAAACGCCACAGAAGATGGATTCTGAGGTTATTGAACAAGGAGAGAAGGAAGGAGGAGGGAAATTAATAAAAATCAGGCTGCCAATGCCCCAGACTGCTTTTCTCTCAACCTAAAAAAGCACAAGGATTCTGAAAATTGGGTGGAGATAACTAGCATTAAACAAGTCAAGGATTTTAACTTGGGTTTATATTTCCTTCTCAATTCCTACACTGGAGAACGCAAAAAGATTTGGATGCTATATATACAAACATTTTTTAATAGCTTTTTGTTTTCCTTTTTGCTTAGCCCTGAATAAAGGTTTGACAGAAAAACCTCAAAATCTTCAGACACAAGTATTTATTTGCAGGTGCTAAATGGTTTCTTGATTAATTCTGCAGCCTGCTGCTCACTCTCTGTTTGCTGTTTTCGCTGGGAAAGGATTTCAGCTCAATAAAGAACTTCCAGGCTGGAATGTGCCTGGTGTGGGCAGCAGGGCAGCAATTGGCTTGAAAAACAAAACACTGAGGAAGAACATGAAACTAATCTGAAACCCTTTAAGCCAGATAAAGGCTCTGCTCCATCATGGGCACATGTCTAAACTTCACCAAGCCTAATAAAGAAGCATTATTGCTGCAGCAGATGTTAAACGTGAGCCTGGCTTCCAGGGGAGGGGGGAAAGAGGAAAGAAATGCCCATAAATACAGATACAGAGTAGGCTCTTCAATTCCAGACCTCCACATCCCTCTGTTTTACACTGGGATACCACCAAAATCGCAGTGATATTACAAAGGGAGTCCACAAGAAGGATGGAGGGAGACTGTTTGCAAGTGACAGGAAAAAGGAAATTATTTTAACTGAACAAGGCAGTGTTAGATGCTGCCATTCTGAAATCTTCACACCTTTAAGGAGTGCTTTTTAGTTTATCCATGCTCCAGGACCTCCCTTTCCAGCCTAGGACAAGCCTTACTCAGAAAAAGAAAATACTTGTGCCATTTATTACTTCTTCCCATTGAAATAAAGCAGTAAAAAGGAGATAATCAGGGCTGTGACAATTTAATTATCACCGTCCTCGGGAAGCTGCCCCACCCTGACCCTTTTGGGGTGCCCATGGTGTGCTAAAACCCCAGGAACTGGCCAAGACCTGCTAGGACGAAAACATCCCCATCCTCTGGAGACAGCATCCTCTTTCTCTGCTTTGCCTTTTCAGCATGAAATCTGAATTCCAGGCCAGGAATCCAAATAAATACACCCAAAAAAAATCAAAAAACAGCCTTAAAATTTTTTTGCAGCACCCTGTCAGTGCCCCATACCTAGGGAAACACATCAAGGATGCACCTGTCTATCAGGCCTGAGGAAATTCTTATTTTTTGTTCTATCAGGGACGCCAGAGCAGCTCGAGGTACACAACTCACAGGTGGCAGGAATTATGTGTTTTCTAGAAAGGAAGGGGCAGGGAGACTCCTCTGGCAACATAAGTCAATTCAGATGGTGCTAGCTTACAGGCCTCTTCCTTTAAATTGATTAATAATGACACATTTAAATGGACAACATAAATTAATTTCTGAATTGCACCATTAGTAAGTAATTAATTTCTTTGCTCTGTGAAACTAAGATATCACTGTTATCTAAATCTATAAAGAGAAGAAATGCTGAACGAGGACTCCATTAATGTAAAAATTGATTTTTCCATTTACCCTCTTCTGAGGTTTTTTTTTTCCTTCCCCCTCCCTCCAATGCATTTATTTTTCAAGTGGCTGGGGATGGGGAGAGTAACCTAATTTATATTTCCAGTGGTAATCAAAAGATCATGCATGCTCATTTCAACCAAATGATGTCATTATGAAGGCTGTTAAAGCCGGGGTTGCCTTGGAAACACAAAATACTGATGGTTGAGGTTGGACCTTGGAGTTCTGGGAAGGCAGTAATGAGCAAACGGCGTGGCCAGACCTGGGAACTTCACCCCAGGTCACTCAGATTTCTCTTCAGCACTTTCCAGGCTGTCATTTCTCCTGTTGCAGCAGTTTCATGGAGCCAGGAGTGACGAGGGGCAGGAAGGATGCTCCAGGCGGGGGCTGTGTGCTGCCTGCCACCTGTGGGAATCCACAAAATTAGAGGGTTTTGGGAAAGATGCAAAAGGCAGGCCTCAGACACAGCAGAACTGTGATTAGAGCCAAGCAGCAGCCATGAGATTGGTCAGCAGAAAAATTATTTAAACTGCAGAAAAGCACAAATAGAACAATGGTCTGTGTATTAACACTTGTCTAGAATAACTCCCTAAGCTACAGAAAAGTTTATCTAGCAAGATATTAGGAAGGTTGAAGCTTAATAACGGAGCTCTGTGTGTTGTGTTTTAAGGCTCACAAGCAGGTGTTGTATTTGAAATAAGCAAGCATTCTTTAACCAAAGGTATCTGTGCTTACAGTGGTTGGATGGAACTACTGTCAATGTGCTTTTGCTTTGTGTGATTGGTCAAAAAACTTATAAAGTGAGTTGTAACATTAAGTTCTTTGTCTGCTGCCTGGGATGTGAGCTGGTGGCATCTTCCCATTGTCATCACCATGTAATGAGGCTGATGCTGGAAAATCAAACAGCTCAAGGCACGTTCCACAGCAGCCCCATCCCATTTGTGATTTGTGACCCTGGCTGGCGATACCACAGCTGTCCCATCCCTGCTTCCCAGCCCCAAACCACCCACCTCTGGATCTCCATCCAAGGGGCATTCAGGTGGTCTCTGATGAGCATAATATAGTATAGTATAGTATAGTATAGTATAGTATAGTATAGTATAGTATAATATAATATAATATAATATAATATAATATAATATAATATAATTGGAAACATCAGCAACTTCACACACAGGACACATCTGTCCTCTCTTACAGTACAAGATCCACCAGGCAAGGACACTTCGAGTAAAGAATAATTTTAAAATCAGCAACAAGTGGACCTGACTTTCTATCTATGACTTCAAGAAGGAAAAGCTTTCATTTTTTCCATGCAGGGAATATTTCCCCTGCCCCAAAACAGGGAACACAGCCAGTGGAATGACTTACAGAGAGTATTTATTAAAGAGGGCAAAACAAACCCTGCATGCAAACAAGTCAATGGGATGAAACATTTACTGTCTGTGCAAGGAGTGTTAAATGAACTCATTTCAGCTTCTCAATTAATATCCAGATGTCCCCAGCCACCGCCAGGGTTTCTTTCCCTTTGGTGAGTAGGTAATGACATTAATACCACCATGTGATCCCTCTCTTCCCTCCCTGAGTCACCCTCCCCTTCCACACAGGAGCTTCTCTGAAGGTTCATCAATTGAAATTGTTTGAATGCAGTGAGAAAAAGAATAAAAAGAACGTTTCCTAACATTGGCAGGAGCATTTCAGGCATGAGCACTTTGAATATTTATTCGCCCTTTGTGGGAGCAGCCTCAGCAAGGAAAAGTCAGCGTGAATAAAAGGAATTGCAAATACCAGAGAAGGAGTTTTTCATTCATGAGAATATTTGCACAGGCTCCTGGGAGAATTATCAGCCAAGGTAATACAAAATCCCTTCTAGCATCAGCACTTTGGGTACTCCATAATCCTGCTTGTCCAACAGAAAACATCTTTTCCTGGGAGCTGAGGGGCTAAGCTGGGATGCTGGGGGTTTTGGGAGGACTAGGGAAGGACTGGAAAAGTTTGGAGAATTATCTTTTCCCCGTTTCTGTGTCATAGTGCCTTATATTCCCTCTGCTTCTCCTCTCCCATCCACTCTCTCCCTCAAGCTGGAACAAATGAGCTCAGCTTCCTTCAGGAGTCCCAAAAAAAGGAAATAAAAGTGGGGGAAAGATATGGCCAAGCAGCCAGAACTGTTGGAGCCTTGGAAAAGCAGGGGGCTCACAGGGAAAAGCCAGTGAGGAGGAGCAATTCATGGCAGAGCTTTATACCACAGATCTGGAACTGACAAAATTCCATGTGGGATCGAAATGAGGACGAATTGCTGAGGAGCAGAGCCAAACCATCCTTCTGCCTGGGAAAGAAGAAGCAGGAGAGCAGCATCCACTGCATTTTTGGGGGTCAGCAATAACAGCACTGAGGTTTGTTTACTCATAATTAGCTTTTCTGGGCGCAAAAAAAAAAAAAATTAAAATCCTGTAGATGTTCATTCTTGCCCTAGGATTTTATAGTGTGGTTCAGAAACTTATGGGAATGATATTATCTTGCCTGGGTTTTTAGAGCATTTCTCTAGAACCCTGTTGGTTTCAGCCCTGTTAAATCCAATAACTTCCCTAAGGGAGTGCTTTAAGTGTCAGCCTTGATTCAGTTATATAAAGGGATAAGGGAATAATCGTTAGACAGCACACAGGGATGGGAGAAGTGGTTTTGTGTGGCACCAGTCTTATTTAAGAACAGTCTGAATTTATAGATGAGGCTGATGAGAAAGCTGGAAGCAGCTAACGCATAAGTGTAAAAGACAAAAGGCAGGCAGTGCTTTTAGGGAGGGCTGGGATACCACAGAGACATGGGGGTGGTTTCAGATGAGTATTTTAAGTGTTTTTAGCTGTTTGCCTTGGTTCCATCAAGATGATGTCCCGTGTGCTGTTCTTGCTATTCATAATGCAAGCTGTGGGCACTGGGGCCCCTGTCCCAGCCTGGGTTTCTTGCTTTGAAATTCACACATCCTGCTGTTATAAGCAATCCAAAACACTGAAGGCTTTAATATTTCTTCTTATTTCTAAGACTAATACTCACAATACAGAATATTTGACTTCTAAAGTGCTGTTGTCATTGCACCTTAAATTACGATGACAGCGTGAACCACGACTGATCCTTCTGAGTGCTGGGCACAGAAACCCAAATCAGCACCTTTCTCTCTTTCCAAGCACTCACCTGCTCCTCTCCAGAAAGGGGATAGGTGGGTAAACACGGCCTTCAGGGACAGAGGATGTGACAAAGGGTGAATGTCTCCATCTGAGACCTGCTCTGCTCAGGAGACAGCCGCAATTTGAAGAGAAGGAAAGGTGTGAGGTTGGCTTTACAATGCTGAGCTGCAAAGAGAGGCCATTCCCTGGTTTCTAGGGGTACATGTGAACTTAATGATGCTCTGATAGCTTTTCACTTCAAATATAAAAAACCCCAACACAATCAGGCAGGTCCAACTCCACTTCCTTCACTGACAGAACCAAATAACATGGATTTTCCAGCCTGTGGCTACAACAACTGAAGCTTTCTGCTGCTAACAAAGGATTTTCATCAGCACTTCTGCTCCATAAACACCTGCAACTTCCTCAGCCACCCCTGAGAGCCTTCAGGAGGAGGCACCTCATGACCTCAGCCCAATCCATCCCTGTTCCTGGGATCCTTCACACACTGTGTGGAGCCCTCCTAAATCTGGACATCATGGAGCCACCACCAGCTCCTGCTTTTCTAAAATAAAGGACAACTGCAGGAACTCTTCCCAACCACCCAAATGCCTCATTTACCTCCAGAGCTACTCAGCTTGGTGGAGATTTCCTGCTCCATCACTCCACACCCTCTTTATGACTTCTTTGGGTCCATGCCTGGCCCAAGCAGAGACGCTCCATTTGTTTTGGCAAGAACGTCCCTGAGATTTATACCTGTAATTATCCAGGTAACCTTTCCGACAGGGAATTTTTAAATGATCAATGCTAAAGCAAACTACACATTAAATGTGATTAATAAGACACCAAATGGCTGCGAGGCTGCACCTCCTTGCTTGTTAAAGGTGTCAGCTGGAGCATCCCTGAGAGAGGCACCATGGCACACCCAAAATTGGCCATTCCCAATGGATAAATCCACTCTTCCCTGGCAATGCCCATGGGATGGTTAGGGTGTGAACAGCCACAGAGGGTGACATCCATCCCCTGAAGTTTCCTGGAGGACTGATTCTGTTCTAAGTTCTTCTAAGCCTTCTGGTGTTTACATTTTTGTAACAGAGTTCTCACGCATTTTTACGTAAATAATGATTGTTTTTCCATTCTTTTCTGGAGGAGCAGAAATTTGATGAGCTGTTAATTTGACCAGTGTCATTAGAGAAGTGGAAATTTCATCCTCCAATCCAAGAGTCACTTTTCCAATTCTATATATATCAAAATAGAAAAATAAACTTCCCTTCTTTTCTACTTTAGACATTCCAGCGTGTGTGTTGTTTTATTTCGCGTCCTATTGCAACAGACTGAGACTTTTTCTTGGGTTCTTGCTGATATCTCCTCCTGCCCTTCCAGGAGCTTTTCCAAGGGATTCCAGCTTCACACCTCTCAGGATATCCATCACGTCTTCCACCAGAAAGAGCTGTAGGAGCATTGAGAGAGAGCTCTTCCAAGGAATTCCAGCTTCACAGCATGCTTGGCAGGTTGCACAGCACTATCCATTATGGCCTGCATGGAGCTGAGGTTTTCCAGAGCTTGCATTTTGCTGCTGGGTTGCCCAAAGACAGTAAAAATCAGTCACAGTCAAGCCTGCATTGACCTTCAGTCAGCAGCTCCAGCGGGCTGGGTGTGCAGGAGAAACGCTGATCGCTGCTTCCCTATTCTCTGGGCAAAGTTATTGCCTATAAATTGTGTATTGATTAGAGGCAGGAATTGTAAAGAAGCCTCCCTGGGAAAACTTGGAGGGTGGGAAGGAATTCAGGGGCTGGCAAAAGAGCTGCTTTAATTAGGAAGGGAAGCAAAGCAGTGGGAAGGAAAAACAAACACAACCTCCCCTCGAAAACCTCCCACTCCAGATCTGAAAATCCGAGCAGGAATTGTCTCTCTTATAGAAAAGGAACAGGATTTTGGAGCTGGGGAATGGAAGAAGGAAAAAGAGCTGGCTTTTCCCTTCAAGCCAGCACTGGGTGGGGAAAAGAGCAGCCACACTTTCTGCTGCTCCTGCATTTCATGGGGAGCAAGGAAAGCCATGGATCACCTAAGGAGTGTGTAACAGCCGTGCTTAACTCTGCCTTCTAGCTGCAAGTGCTTCAGGGTAATTACACATCTTGGACTTATTAGCTGTAATTACTGGGTTCTGTAATCTGCAGAGTGTGTTGTTACAGCATGGGCAACCTCCGGCGGTCTGAATGGGATCAGAGAAGTTTCTTATTAATCCTC